GGGGTGGGGGGTGGGGGGGGGGAGCCTGTTGACACTTTACCCTTTTCCCCCCCGCCGGCCCACCTGATGATTTGTGGTGACAGGCCTTGGCTGTTCAAGGACGACTCAAGGCCCGTGGAGGCTGAGATGTTGGTGAGAATGGGACAGTAGCAGCTGTGAGGGAGGAGGAAGAGGAGGAGGAGGAAGAGTCAACACACACACACACACACACACACAGATGTGGCTGTGACTCCACGTCCAGATCAGACCATCGTCTTCAGTCTTGTCTCTGCGTTTCCTTCTTTCTTCTTTTCTTCTCGTCCAAAACCGTGATGTTCTTTTTTTTTTCTTCTCTTCTTCCTTCTCTTCTCTTTCCTCCCCCTCCCCCTCCTCCCTCCCCCTCCTCCTACAGAGCCCTCAGTGAACCCGTCCAATGCCGGCGTGGTGGCAGGAGCAGTGATTGGCTCCCTGCTCGCCCTTCTCTTGGTCGCCGCTCTCATCGCCGTCCTTATCACCCGTAGCCGGCGGCAGCAGCAGGGTTACCGTGCCAACGGCAGCAGCGACATGAAGACTCGCATGTTTGGTGGCGGCAAGAAGTCCAGCAAGAACGGCACAAACGGGGGCACAGGAAGTGGTGGCGTCGGAGGCGGGAATAACAACGGGCCCATCTACGTTTACAACGACGGCTCCTCCCACCAGGGCCTCGGGGAGAAAAACAATCACCACCAGCCACTCACCATGGGGGGGCGCCCTGAAGGTGTCACCACGGCCCCCACCGCCCAGGACATCCTGCTGAGCAATGAGTTAGACGAAGCGGAGAGGAGGAAGTTTGATGAGCTGGAGGAGGAGGAGCGGTACGTCAACTTCAGCGGCGGCGCCCCCATCCTGCAGCTCCGCCCCCCCGGAGACCAGGGCGACATGATTGGAGATTACCTGGATGACGACATGGAGTCACAGAGGGATGGCTCCGTGATCTCACGGACTGCAGTTTACGTCTAGACGATGAGGAGGAGGAGGACGAGGAAGAGGA